CAGGGCTGGAGATCCCAGGCCTGTGCCTGTCCCTGCCCATGAGGCTGGCGGCCCCCGTGCCTGCGCTGTCGTGCACCTCCACGAAGTCGAAGCTGCAGTCCTCATGCGACTCCAGGCTGAAGTTGTGGAAGTGCAGGTCGATGACGTGGCCCATGGGCACCGAGATCTGCCAGAGGCACAGCTGCAGGGCAGGGGGCAGCCGGCAACACCCGTGAAGCCAGGCAGGGGCACCCCCATCTCTCCCTGGTGGGAGGTTGCCTTCCTCCCTGCCTGCCCTCATCCTCACCCTCCTCCCACTTCCATCCCGCCGGCATCCCTTCTCTCACCTGCTGGTGTGGGTACGGCTGGGGATGGCTCGGGGTGGAGAAGTGCCCCTCCAAGGTGGTCAGTGGCCCCCCACACTCTGGAGGGGCACACACACGTGCAGCTTTACCCCCTGCCCCTCTCCCTTCTCCCCACTCCCCCGCCCCTGCCTCCCACTGCCCATCGCCATGCCCTCTGGCCGAGGGGGCTGTGGGCTGCAGGCAGGGGGCTGGCCCACCTTTGTCTTTCAGGCTGCAGTTGGCCTCATCGCTCTTGTCCACGCAGTCATGGAAGCCGTCGCAAACAAAGCCCAGGTGGAGGCAGAGCCCCTGGTCGCACAAGTGCTCATCCCAGGCACAGCTCTCTGCAGCGCAGGGCAGAGACGACCAGGCTGGCAGTGGTGTCCCCCTGGGCACCCCCAGTGCCCTGGGCGTTACGGGAGACCCCCCTGGTGCTACCCACTGCCTGCCCACAGCAAGGAGTCCTGGCAGTGCCCGGGGGCGGGGGTACTCACTCTCACTGGGGGCCACGGCGCGGTAGCGGGCACTGAAGCCTGGGGCGCCCACGCTGCTGTCGGAGACGAAGGTGACGCGCAGGTGGTTGGAGTTGGTGTTGAAGGTCGGGGGGACCACGTTGCCGCAAAACCTGTGGGCACGAAAAGGGGCAACACTGCTCGCCCCTGGAGACGCTGCCCCCTCCCCACTGCACCGCCACAGCCCCTGCGTGCGGGGGGCCCTACCTGGTCGGACCCCCCCGAGCCGGGGCAGGATCTGTGCTGCTGGCCCCCTGCTCCTCGTAGAGCTCCACACGGTCGAAGAGGCAGGAGGCAGTGCCCTCCACGCTGAACGTCTCCATCTTCAGCTGGATGGCGAGGCCGGGGCCCACCTCGATGCGCCAGATGCAGAGTGCGTCGGGCGGGTAGGGGCCGGGGTAGTTGGGAGAGCTGAAGGAGCCCTCGGGGCCCCGCAGGGTCCCACCGCAGGCTGCACGGGGCAGCAGCATGGGCATGAGCTAGTGCTGCAGGGCACTGCCGTCCTGGCACATCGCCCCACATGAGACTTACCCGGTGCTGGTGTGCCAGCTGTGGGCAGCCAGCTCTGGGTGGGGGTGGCAGCTGTTTTGGGGGCCGGAAGGGCCCTTCCGGGGGGGGGCGGGGGGGGGGGGGGGTAGTTCCACCAAAGTCGTGCGCATCGCAACATGGCAGCTTGTCCTGTTTATATGTAGCAAAGTGTTACATATACATGAAGTTTCCCAATACGCCTATACAAGGGAGAAATGGCTGCAGGGTGGGGAAGGGGCTTAGGAAGCCCACCCAGCCCCATCTCCTGTGCTCCCACCCTACCCCACACGTGCAGGTCCCAGGGGATCCCACACAGCTCTCACAGGGCCCAGTGACCTTGCTGCATCGCAGGAAGGTGGAGATCCCCCTTGCTCCTGTGCAATGGGCAGACCCTGGGAGGTCCTGTGTAGGATGGATGCCCTCGCTGTCCCCCTCTCCTCTGAGCTGGTTCTGTGTCCCCCACCTCATGGCCACAGCCCGTCCCCCAGCCCTCCCTGCTCGGGCACTCACGGTGGATGACGATGCCCAGCAGGAGGGCGATGAGGAAGAGGAGGACTGTGCTCATCAGAGCCACGCAGAGCCAGGTGAACTTGCAGTCAGCGCGGTATCGCCCTCCT